CCTGCTCTACCTCCTCTTCGTCATTCTCCTCCTCCCCCCTCCCCAGCTTTCTCGTCCCTCCTCATCTTCTCCTCCTCCTCCCGACTTACGGATCTAGCCTGTGACGTTTTTGAGCGGATGTGAGAAAAAACAAGTCCGACCCGGGGCACAGGTACCTGGCGGGCGCCGCAGAAACAGCTGCGAAGAGAGGAAATCGGCAAGACTAGGACAATGAGTAGGCGCCCGCCAGATACAAGAGGACGGCGTACACGCCGGTCGCTGAAAGTAGGTATTGTAGTGGCTTTCGGCCAGTGCCGCCGATCCGGGTCGCTCGGATACACATATTACGCGGACACCTCACGCACGCACACGACCAAATGCACATACGGCAGACACACATACAGAGACACACTAGGCGCACGCCAGACACTAGCACGCACAGACATTCGCAGACACGCACCACACACAGACACTCGGACAGGAGCCTGTCAGGGCGTCGAGGGGGCTTCTTGGGGGCTTTTGGGGGCCCTCTTGGGGGCTCTTGGGGCCTCCTGGGGGCCTCGTGGGCTGGAAGGCTAGATTTTTTCCGCTTTTCGTCCCTCTTTTGGCCGTCTTGGGGGCCTCTTGGGCCGTCTTGGGTAGCTTTTGGGCCGCCTTGGGGCCCTCTTGGGCCGTCTTGGGACTGTCTGGGGGCCTCCTGGGCCGTCTTCGAGCGGTCTTGGGGGCCTCTTGGGCCGTCTTGGAGCGTCGGAAAGCCGAAAAAAGCGACAACCCCAAAAACATGAAAAAAACCAATGGAAATCAACGATTTTGCCTCTGGGGGCCCTCGTGGGAGGCCTCTTGGAGGCCTCTTCAGACGTCTTGGAAGGCTCTTGGGCCGTCTTGGGGCCATCTTGGGCGTGTTCGGGCGATCTTTCGGGGTCTCGGGACTTTCGTAGACCGTCCTAAGAGACTTTTGCGGCCGCGGCCACCCTTGTAGCGCATCCTCGAGATTAGAGCCTTCTGTAAAAGCAGCCCCCCCGCATCCGCCGGAAACTCGCACCCACCCCCCCCATCCCCCCTTCCCCGGCAGAGCCACCCCGGCAACCCCCCCAGAGGCTGAGGCTCAGCCTCGAGGCTGTAGCTGAGACTCCTTGAAACTCACACGCCGGATCGGCGGATTTTTTGATTCCCAGATGCCAATCTTTTTCAAGCGCCTTCCTACTTCAAGAGTCGACACGCTTTTGCTGTGTTTTTTGATTCCCTGGGGGGCCTGGACCCAATCAACTTAATCCGCCTTCCTACTTCATGTTTTTATATACTTCTTCCGACCGACGTTTACCTTTGTAAGATAGTCCCCCTGGTAACAAAGTTAAGTAAGATTAGCTGAGGTACCAGCCCCCCGTCATGTTTTCAGGTACTGACTGCCTCGAAGGTGTGGCATGAGGTAAAAGAGCTGAGCATGGTGAGGTTGGCCTAGTCAGGCTGGCCTGTTTCAAAATAGTGTAGTGGACATTAGCCTGCGTATATTCAGCTGTCAAACCTCTTCCATACATCATTTGAAGTGCTAAGAACCTGCATACGAGAGAGAGAGAGAGTGTGCAAGAGAGAGAGAGAGAGAGAGTGACCGAGCAAGCGTACGAGATAGCGAGAGACAGAGAGAGAGAGAGAGAAAAAAAGAGTCATGGAGAGGTTGACGCAGAGGGGAAGAGAGAGAGGGGGGGAGGCTCGTTCCTCCTCCCCTCCTCCCCCTCGTCGCCCTTCGGTTCTGCACCCTGACTCCTCATGTTCCGTTCCACCTCCCCGCCCCCACACGATCGTACCATTTCTTCGTCTTTGTTCGTGTGTCACCCTACACATTTTCTTCTCGTCTCCGCCTCCCCCTTCTCCTCCTCCTCCTCCTCCTCCTCCTCCTCCTCCTCACCACCACCATCATCATCATCATCATAATCATTATCAGCATCAGCATCAGCATCAGCATCATCACCATCCTCATCAGCAGCATCAGCATCAGCATCAAAATCATCATCATCATCAGCATCACCACCATCATCCGCATCCTCTCTCCACAGACACCGTGCCAGACAGGAACACCTGTGAACATGGATATTGCACATAGCATGTTAATGGCTATGGCAAGGACACCTTGCGAAAGCACATATAACGCATACAGTTTTAATTGTGTTGGTAAGGAAGCCTTGTGAGAACACTCATAAAGCGTGTGGCGTTTCATATATTCGGCCAAGAAGTTTAGCGGAAACACTCAAACACATATGCAGCATCGCTTGCTGGATAAAGACGAGCCACAGGGAGGTTGGGGGAACAGGAGGAGTATGATCGCCTTTTCTCCACAGACAGCGTGTGCCAAACAGGAAAACGTGTGACAGCGCAGTTGACGCATGTACTGTGAAATGGTCATGGTAGAGAAACAATGCGGAAACACAGAAACACATATACGTGTCATGGTTTTGGCTAGGAGGCCTTGTGGCACCGCTCTCAAACATAGGTTATGTTTACTGGCGTTGGCATGGGAGTCGATAGCACATAGACGTCAAGGCTTGTGTGAAGAATCTTGACCACCGGGGTTGGGGGGAGCAGGAGGAGGATAGACGCCCGTCGCCAGGACAGTTCTGAATTATTCCCAGCCCTTCTGCGTCTCAAGAGCTTTGGCTCGAGACCCTTTCCAGGAGCTCGGTCATGTCTCCGTGGGTTGCAATAATTACTTGTGCCCGCTTGAGAGCCCCACTCATGATTGACGCAGTGAGCGTCTTCGTTCACAATCCATGAAGCAGGGCGATGGCGCAAGGACGGGAGTTTGGTCAGGCAAGTGGAAGTGCAGCGGCTGCGGGTGCAAGCAAAATCTTCTCCGTTGGTGGCGTTGAAAACATTGCCGCGCCGTTCGCTCCGAGGTCGATCCCAATTATGCTCCGCTCCCCTGGGGCGACCGAGCTCGTGGTCCCCCGTCGTCAACGAGGCCCGCGTCTAAGTCCGGTGACGGCTGGCGGAGTTCAAGTTGGGACAACGAATAGGGAGATGCGAGTGCCCATGCGCTGGTTCAAGCCACTCTTCTTGCTCGTCCTGGCCCACAATTCTTCGCAGGTGGCGCCGGTTCATACGTGGCCCCCCTCTGTCTCGTCAGACGCTAATCTCCAGGACATCAGGCGACCGTCGACCTGCTTCGCAAGGTCGGGGATCGAGACGGGGCGGCTGCTTATCCTAAGCTTCTCGCCCTCCGTAAACCACAGGCCGCTTCAGTCGGCCAGGGCCCTCCCTTGCAGCAGCGCGTCAGCACCGCGTTCCACCCAGTTAGATCTTTGGAAGGAAAGCTTGCTCGGGCCGCGGTACAGATGCAGCGCCTCGAGACCCAGCTCACCGAGCAAAAGGAGTGGGTGTTCAAGGCCAGATGCGAGTTGGAGGTGGCCGAAGCTGGGCACACTCGTTTCGCCCAGGCCCTACATGCTTCCACGTGCGGCCCCGCAGACCAGAAGGCTTCTGGGAGTCCCCCCGCTTCGGTCGTCGCCAGCATCAGCATTGATGGCATCCTCGAGGGTAAGCCAGAGCTGCCTATCACTCTGGGAAGTTTAAGTCCAGTCGACGGCGATTAGAGCGCGAGCAAGACGAAACCTTTCGGGTAGAAGCCCAGCGTAGGCTCGACGCGTTGCAGGTTAACATGAAGTCGCCCATCGGAGCCCTGCCCGGAGACGCCGCCGAAAAGTTCAAGAAGGCGATGGAGGAACCGCTCTCTTGGCTCGTCTCCAGAAGAAGAGGCGCAAGGCCAGCGAAGGGGGAGCTGCCTCAGGGAGTACTGGGGGAGATTCTGGCCAACGCGCCGCGGTGCTTGCAGCGCTTGAACGGGGCCCCAGATCGCGATGCCTTTTTCTGGGAGCGCTGGCAGCGGAGCTGCCGCCCCAGGCGAGCAGCACTCCCAGCCGTCGACCCCGCCTGCCGAGGAGGCCGCCCGCCAAGCTGCTCGCAGGGCAGCAGCTGCCGTCTTGCTGTCGAACAATCAATCCCCCCTACTGGCGACGCCGCCACCGCTTGAGGGGGGTCATTTTCAGTCCCGTGGCCCTCGACCTCGGTATCCCAGGGCGTCGCCAAGTTCTGGCAGCATGTGAATTGGGTGAAGGTTCAGGCTTCTTCGGTTTCGAAGTGGCTCCCCGGTGGCCCCAAGACCCGGGCCCCCACTCTTCCTCCTGATTAGTTTAGTCCTCTCTCCCAGGAGGGCTCTGTCGATTCGGTGGCGCTCGCGGTGGAAACGGCCAACGTTGCGGGGTGGGGACCGAAGGCAAATTTTGAATGTCCACGTCCGCTCACGTTGTGCTGATGCAAGAACACCACTGCGCTCACTCTGATCGAATGGGGTCAGTCAGTGGGCCTTGCGCCGAGGGTAGCAGTCCCTCTGGGGTCCAGCATCTGCTGGGGAAGGGACCGGGGGGACGGGGATCTGAGGGAACGGGGCAGGCGGAAGGCGGACAGGGAGACTGAGAGGGAAAACACAGGACGGGGTGAGAGAGGAAGGATGGGGAATGGCAGGGAGGACGCGCGCGCGCATCTGACAATCTGCGAGGGCACGGAGAGGGACCTGGAGGGGGTGTGGGGTGGGTGTAGTTTCCGTTGCTTTCCCTCCAGAGCGGTGCGCTCGCATTGTGCTTCCGTCACGCGAGAGACAAGGGGGAGGCGGGGGGGAGTGAGGCAGGAGCACGACGACAAGGGCGAAGGCGAGGGCGACGACGGGGCAGGAGGCGTAAGATGAGGGGGGAGAATGCGGGAAGCATGAGGAAAGACGAGGGCTAACAGCAACCGTGGGTTAGGAGGGAGAGAAGAGGACAATAGGATAACATCAGGAGGAGGAGGAGGAGGAGGAGGAATGTTACCACCAGCAGCGCAACGCGTCGCCACGACGCCACTCTTGCAGTCGTCGTCGTCATCCCGGAGACCAGCCGCCCGCGCCACCACGCGAGGACAACCGGGTCAAAACCGATGACGTGTTGAATACGAAGGGCAACGATTTCGAGGACTATTTCTTGAAGCGCGAGCTGCTGATGGGCCCCGCGGGTGGTTCGAAGCAGACGGGTCGAGAGAAGGGGGGGGGGTGAGGATATCGAGGGAGGGAAGGGGGGAGAGAGGGGCGGAGGGGACAGATAGACAGAGACCGAGAGAGAGGGAGAGACAGAGCGAGACAGCACGTGCCGCCGCGTGCCGACCCGAGCACCCCATGCCTCCAGGGATATTCGAGAAGGGCTACGAGAAGCCCTCTCCCATCCAGGAGACCAGCACGACCGATACCAGACCACACCGTTCTCGCACCTGCGCCCGCGCCCCCTGGAGGAGAAGGAACAGCAAGAAGAAAAAGAGGAGGAGGAGGAGGACCGAGGACGATCGAGGAGGAGGATCGAGGGGATACCCAAGGGGGGGGACCCAAGGAGGAGGGGCTCCTCCTCCTCCCTCTCCTCCCCTGTCTCGTTTCTCCATGCTTTCCGTCCTGCCCTTGCCTCCCTCTCCTGCTGCTGTTTCTGTTCCCTCTCCGATTGGTCTTCCCCCTTCCATGTCCTCATTGTTCCTTCCCCATCCCTTCTACACATTCGTTTCCCAAAAGTACTTCATCCCTGTCGTACCCCCAGAGGCGTTGGTAGGGCGGGCGGGCTGGGCGTTTCGCTTGAGACGCCCTGGCCATTATGATCCTGAAGCTTGAACTGTGCAACATGTTCACAAATGAAAGGGGGGGTAGTTTCGAGGATATGGCTCCCGCCCCATCCCCGCACGCACTCGCTTTTAAAGCTGCAGCAGCTTCAAGGACGGATGGGGCCATTTTCAAAATCCGGCTTTCGTTTTAGCGCCGCGCACAGTCGTGTTAACGGCTTGCTACAGTTCCAAGAATGGAGAGTGATTCCTGTTCAGCACGCGTCTCTCGCCGTAGTCCCGCGCATACTCTTCCTAAAAATGCGCATCTGTTTCAATGATGGAGGGTGTTCCTTTTCAAAAGGAGGGTATCGCCTTATCCCCGCGCACAGTCAAAAGCTTGCAACAGCTTTAAGGATGGATCACTAGCTGTTTCAAGTGTGGGTCTCGCCGTAGCCCCGCGCAGATTCGATTCAACAGAGTGCAACAGCTTCAAGGATGGAGGGCGGTTCCTCTTCAAAATGTGGCTCTCACTGTAGCCACGCGCACATTCGACTCAAAAGTTTGCAAACGTTCAAATGGTCAAAGTCGGCTTCTTTGCATATTGTGACTCTCGCGTTGGTACCGCGCACATGCGTTTTCAAAGTTGCAGCAGTTTCACGGATGGAGGGGGGCCATTGTCAAATTTTGGGTCTCGTGTTAACGCCGCAAGGATGAAGAGCGATTATTGTTCAACACGTGCCTCTTGCTTGAGCTTGGTGCACATTCGTCCAAAAAGTGCGCAGCCGTTTCAATGAGGTGCTCCTTTGCAGAATGTGGGTATCGCCGTATTTCCGTGCACATTCAAAAGCTTGCAACAGCTTCGAGGATGGAGCATTGGCGGTGCTTTAAATGTGGCCTCGCCATAGCACCGCACACATTTGATGTTAAAGTGATCAACAGTTTCAAGGATGGCGGGTGGTTCCTTTTTATAATGCTGCTCTCACCGTAGCCACGCGCACATTCGACTCAGAAGTTTGTAACCGCTTCAATGATCAAAAGTGGCTTGCAACATGTAGCTGTCGCGCTGGTGCCGCGCACATGCGCTTCAAAATTGCAACAGCTTCAAAGGTGCAGGGGGCAATTCCCAGAACCTGGCTCTACTTTTAGTGCCGCGCACAGTCGTGTTGACAGTTTGCTACAGCGTCAAGGATGAAGAGCGATGCTGTTTCAACACGTCTCTCTTGCAGCGTCGCAAGTGGTGATTGTTCCTGACCTGGTGAGCACGACCACAAGCGTAAATTTGAGCAGCATTGATACGGATTGTGTAGTGTTTTCTTCGAACGGGAGATATCGTTGGACACCCAGCTCACTTGTATAACCACAGTTGTACAGGCGTTTTGCACGACGCGGTTAAAGGATGCAAGGTAGTTCTTTTTTAAAGCGGACCATATTGGCCAATTTGGCAGGCCAAATTCTGTTGGTTTTTCAAAGGAGGGCGCTGCTTGCAGCGAGAAGGAGCTCGTGACGGAACGTATGAGGAGGGAAGTTGGTTGGGACGGGTGGGTGTATTGCAGCATCGTTGATGCATTTTTGGTTTATAATGTTCCCCCTCATGTTCTTCCTCCCTTCCAGCTTTCCACCACCTCCATCATCCTCCTCTCGCCTCCCGTGTTCCTTCTCCTCTTTCTCGCCCTCCACTTTCTTTCGCCTCCCATCGTCCAGCTCCATGCTTCCTCCCTCCCCTTCCTTCTGATCCTTACCATCCTCGATGCCCCTCGTTCTGGCTGTTGCTACTCCTCATCCGAAAGAGCGTGTTCTACCGCTGCTGGCAGAAAACCGGGGGGGGTCACTACCGGTTCGAACCCCTCCCACCCCCCCTCTCCGGAAAACCGGGGGGGGTCACTATCGGTTCGAACGCCCCCCCCCCCCCCTCCCGTTCATCATGAAAAGGGGGGGGGTCACTACCTGTTCGAACCCCCCCCCCCCCATCGAACTCGAAAACCGGGGGGGTCACTACCGGTTCGACCCCCCCACCCCCCCGCCCCCCTCGAAAACCGAAGGGGGGTGCGGACAGTGGTGGGGACGGTGGTGGTGGGGACAGTGGTGAGGGGACAGCGGGACAGTGGTGGGGACAGTGGGACAGTGGTGGGGACGGTAGTTGTGGGGACAATGGTGAGGACAATGGTGGGAACAGTGGGGACACTGGGACAGTGGTGGGGACGGTGGTGGTAGGGACAGTGGTGTGGGGACAGTGCATGTGGTGGAAAAAGTAGGACAATAAAGGGTACAGTGGTGGTGGGGACAGTGGTGAAGGCGGTGGCGAGGACGGCGGTGGGACAATGAGACAGAGGTACAGTGGGGACAGTGGTGGGGACAGTGGGGACAGTGGTGGGAACAGTGGGACAGCTCAGTGGGACAGCGGAGGAGTCAGTGGGACAGTGGGGACAGTGGGGATAGTCGGGCAGTGGTTGGGGCCGTGGAGAAAGTGGGGAGAGTGGAACCGTGGTGGGAACAGTGGTGGGGACAGTGGGGACAGTGCGACAGTGGTGGTGGCACTGGTGGGGACAGTAGGGGCGGTGGTGGAACCAGTGGGGACAGTGGTGGTGAGGACAGTGGTGCTGGGAACAACAGTGGGGGATGTGGTGAGGACGGTGGTAGGGACCGGGAGTCGTTTGCTGGCGGTGAGAGGGGTGGGTGGGGGGAGGGGTTCGAACCGGTAGTGACCCCCCCCTCCGGTTTTCGAGGGGGGGTGGGGGGGTTCGAACCGGTAGTGACCCCCCCCCCGGTTTTCGAGGAGGGGGGGGTGGGGGGGGTTAGGGGAGGGGGGGGTTGCCGGGGGGAGGGGGGGGGGGGGGGGGGGGGAGGGGTTCCAGCAAGGGGGGAGGGGGGGATTTTCGGAGGGGGGGGGGGACCGTAAGGTGCTGGATTTGGTACCATTTGACGGTGGGTGTATACAAGCATGCAATTTGTATTTGTTTTGCATAGATTGTAGAGGTGTGTGCGTGTGTGACATAATGTGTGTGTACGTAAACATAGCATACACATGCAGGCTTTTCCGTACATAGAAATAAGCTTGCATACGCATATATATATATATATATATATATATATGTATATATATACGCAAATATATAGATGTGTATATATACATCTACATAGACACACACATGGATATGTTGTACACACGTGAGCACTATAGAAAGATATATATATATATATATGTGCATTCATAGATTCACATGAATAGAAACATGCATATGGTTATGGATGTACTTGCATGTGCTTTTATGGATGTACAATGTGTACATGTATGCGCGTACATGTTGGTATACAATGTATATGTGACCATGCGGTTTTACAACACTGGTATACAATATGTATGTGCAAACGCGGTGATAGAAAAAAAAACGGCATCCGTATTTACAAACATAATAAGGCATGCGTATGAACATGTGTAAACGAGTGTGTTCGAATGTGTATACAATGAGTAACCAAGCGTGTGTATTTGTACATATATTATGTATCAGTGTATCTGTGCACATCTAATACGAAAGTATACAATATGTGTATACCGGGTAATATGGATATAGATGTCCATATGGATATACGCTTGTATTTTTGCAAACACGAATGTGTGCATATGTGTATATATATGTATTACTGTATGGTTGCGTATGCAAAAAAAAATAGTTAAGAATGTTGGCGTATTTATAGATTTGCGCATGCATCTGGAAACGCAAAACAATGCTTACACAATCAAACAAGCATGCGTATGTGTAGATGTACAGCTGCAAACACACGCGCACATACCAATACATTTATTCATGTCAGAAGCAACGGTTGTACATGCGTACAGGCGTGCATGTGCACTTGAAGTATTTATACAAGCATGCAACGTTGGACAAAGATCTCACACATCATACATACATGTTGTGCACGTGTTCATGTGTGCGTGTACGCACGTTGTAGGAGCATGCGCGGCCCAGCATACAGATATTACCCTCCGTATATGCATATACGCATTTGCACATATTTATATACACATTCCTACAGTTGTGTTTATAGTTATGCGTATACATGTATGTATATATATATATATATATATATATATATATATATATTCATATGTGCGCATGCTCATGTACATACGTACAAGTACACCATCAATACAATTGCAACCAACCGCATGCATAGGAGCATTCCTTTACACATACATACCCACATGATCACCCATTTATGTGTATGCATGTCCTTAATTTGAGACAATCATGCATGTCAACTTGCGCTTACACGTGTACAAAAGTAGCCCCATATGCATGCATGCATGAATGTATGAAAACAAGTATGCACATGGATAGACACACGCATACTACTTGACACGTGCACGAGCACACATAAGCACGCATCAAAACGCCAGCATGCGTCTTAACATACATTCAACCACACACGTGCAACGATGCGTGCACATGGGTATGCGCGCTACAAGAAACCATACACACATTCACATGTACACACAGACGTACGCATATACGCGCTTATGCATCGACAGCCGGGTACACATGCAAAGGTATACACACAGGTACATGGAGACCTGGCGCACCGCAATTGCGGATAGAAATGAGGGGGCGGGCGAGCTCGCGGGCGGGTCGCGGGCGAGGTGGGTCGCGGGTGCGTCGCGGGCGGGTCGCGGGCGACGACGACAACAAGAACGACAACAACGACAAACCCAATTTAAAGACCGTTCGCTCTTATATGGACAGGAGAGAGCAAGGAGGCGCGGAGTGGTGTAAGGGGGGGAGGAGCGAAGGGGCAAGGGGTGGAGGATGACGGATGACGAGCGAGATTAGCTGGAGGGGGTTAAGAGAGGTACAGTAGAACAAACGATTGAACCAGACGGGCGGGTCGGGCGGCGTACCCTAAGGAGCGGGCGGGGCGGTCCGACCCTAATGGGCGGGTCGGGCGGCCCGGCCCTCTCCTGAGTTTTGATGTTTGGGTGAGCGGCACTGACGCTCGCTTCATGAGAGAGCAGAACATAACAGAGAAATAGGCGGATGAATGATGATGAGGAGGAGGAGGAGGAGGAGGACAATGGCGGGTTTGGGGGCCTCTTGGGGCGCCTTGGGGGCCTCTCGGCAGTTCCTGGGGGCCCCTTGCGTACCTCCAGGGGCTTCTTTGGACCTCTTGGGGGTCTCTTGGGAGCCTGTCGGAGGCCTCTTGGGCGCCTCTGTGGGCCTCCTCGGCGCCTCTTTGGCCCCTCTTGGGGCGCTCTTGGGAGGGCCGGGGACGCTCTTGGAACCATCTTGGAGGACATCGATTAAAGAATGGGGAGGTTCAATTAGCCTTGCCCCTCAAGAGTGCATAGATTCGTCTCTTGGACCCCTCTGAAAGCGCTCTCGGGCGCTCGTGGGGCAGTGTTGGGGCTTTCTCGGGCCTCTCGAGTGAGGCCTCGGAAGACCATCGAAAGCCAAAGGCGAAAAAAAGGTAACGTTCACGGATTTTCTTTAAGTTTTGAAGGCTGTTGGCCTCTTGGCGGCCTCCGCGAGACGCCCCGTGGCCACTTGGAACCGTCGTGGAACAGTCTCGGGGACTCTTGGAGCATCTTGCTACGTTGGTTGTCCAAAGTATGGCTTTCGTCTGCTTAGATCGGGCGTCGGATATCCAACATGGTGTCACCAGGGGCGTTTCGCTTGAGACATCCTCGCACAACGGGGATGTCAGAGGAGTTGTTGGAGCGGCGTTATTTCTTCAACTTGAGGTGTTCGTCAGAGACATGCTCGCGAAGATTCAAACTGGTGTGTGTGGGGGGGGGCTTTCGCCTGAAACATGTTCGCGCAATGGGAAGGTGGGAAGATTCGTGGTACGGCGCTGGTTCTCAACCGTGAAGCTTTTGCAGGACATATCCTTTGAGCATTGAGATGTTGAGCTCGCGCGTTGAACATCGAACTTGGTATGACGGGGCGCTTCGCTGCAGAAAACATCCGAAACAAACGGATGTTTAGCGAGCTCTCGAATTTGACGTATTTTAAAGAGTTTGGTTCTCGTCTAGACATCCTCACAAAAAAGGAGGCGTCACCAGAGACGTTTAACAGCATATGATGGTTTGATGTAATTTCCTTACTGGTCTCGTGGGTGCCTCAAGTTTCGTGCATGCGTGCTTTTCCAGTCGGAATTGTTTTTTGGCGTTGTTGTTCCCAACCCTCCTTGGTTGGGTATTCGTTTTGAATAGAGCAGTGTGGTCGCGTCCTTCCTCCTCCCGCCTCCCGCCTCTTTCCTGCCTCTTTCTGTCTTGCCTGCGGGGGGCTGCGATCTGTGGAAACTGTCGCCACTTTCGAGGCCTGCTGGGGGGCCCAGCACAGTGAGGGCGACGCGCGGACCCAAATTAGACCTCGCCATTCCTGGGGGGCTGCGATCTGTGAAACTGTCGCCACTTTCGAGGCCTGCTGGGGGGCTCAGCATAGAGGGTAATCGCGGCAGATTCAAATTAGACCTCGCCATCCCTGGGGGGGGGGGCTGCGATCTGTGAAACTGTCGCCACTTTCGAGGCCTGCTGGGGGGTCCAGCATAGAGGGTAATCGCGGCAGATCCAAATTAGACCTCGCCCTCCCTGGGGGGCTGCGATCTGTGAAACTGTCGCCACTTTCGAGGCCTGCTGGGGGGTCCAGCATAGAGGGTAATCGCGGCAGATTCAAATTAGACCTCGCCATCCCTGGGGCTGCGATCTGTGAAACTGTCGCCACTTTCGAGGCCTGCTGGGGGGTCCAGCATAAAGGTTAATCGCGGCAGATTCAAACTAGACCTCGCCATCTCTGGGGGGCTGCGATCTGTGAAACTGTCGCCACTTTCGAGGCCTGCTGGGGGGTCCGGCATAAAGGGTAATTGCGGCAGATTCAAATTAGACCTCGCCATCCCTGGGGGGCTGCGATCTGTGAAACTGTCGCCACTTTCGAGGCCTGCTGGGGGGCCCAGCACAGTGAGGGCCACGCGCGGATTCAAATTAGACCTCGCCATCCCTGGGGGGCTGCGATCTGCGAAACTGTCGCCACTTTCGAGGCCTGCTGGGGGGCCCAGCACAGTGAGGGCCACGCGCGGATTCAAATTAGACCTCGCCATCCCTGGGGGGCTGCGATCTGCGAAACTGTCGCCATTTTCGAGGCCTGCTGGGGGGCCCAGCACAGTGAGGGCCACGCGCGGATTCAAATTAGACCTCGCCATCCCTGGGGGGCTGCGATCTGCGAAACTGTCGCCATTTTCGAGGCCTGCTGGGGGGCCCAGCACAGTGAGGGCCACGCGCGGATTCAAATTAGACCTCGCCATCCCTGGGGGGCTGCGATCTGCGAAACTGTCGCCATTTTCGAGGCCTGCTGGGGGGCCCAGCACAGTGAGGGCCACGCGCGGATTCAAATTAGACCTCGCCATCCCTGGGGGGCTGCGATCTGCGAAACTGCGCCATTTTCGAGGCCTGCTGGGGGGCCCAGCACAGTGAGGGCCACGGGCAGATTCAAATGAGACCTCGCCATCCCTGCGGGGCTGCGATCTGTGAACCTGTCGCCACTTTCGAGGCCTGCTGTGATCCCCGTTTTCGAAGTGGCTAGGAGTGCTCAGGAATTGTAAATCATCAGCTTTATCAAGCCCTTTTCCTGTAGCCAGTGTCCTGCGAGTCTCCCGAATTCCGTCTGCAGACATATGTAACCCTCGCTCCGTCATCGCCCCCTGATAAAGTATCCTAAACTATTTGCGCCCCGCTTTTGCGCAGGGGTTGGGTACGTCGCCAGGGTAATTGTTCTTATCGGTGTTCTCGCTGCAGCGTTGGCCTCATGCCAGGATGTGCACTTTGCTGCCTTCGTTCAGGAAGCGCCGTCGCCCCAGCGAGGGCTACTGGATCACAGTTGTTCCTCGTCGTTGTCGCCCGCCTTCTGTCCCCTCCTTCGCCTTTCCTTGGTCATCCTGCTTCCCCCGCTCCTCCTCTTTCACCTGCCGCTGCTGATGCTGCTGGTGGTCTTCCTCCTCCTTCCTCATCCGCCTTTTCCTTCTGCTCATCTTCCTGCCCATCCGCCACCTCCTCCTCCTCCTCTTCCCACTCCTCCTCCTCCTCCTCCTCCTCCTCCTCCTCCTCCTCCTCCTCCAGTGCACAGCTCTTCGTTCCAATTGCGCTTCGCACGATGGGGCCATCTGGGAGATCCAGGTCTGCCAGGACACCCGTCGGCGGATAGAGACAAATACACCGCATTGGAAAGCGGATGCGTGGCAGGGGTAGGATGTCAGATATGGCATGAGCGCGCCTAGCTGGCCCCTGCTTCGCTCCACTCGCCCATCCGTCTCTCTCTCTCTCTCTCTTTTCCCCCACCTTCTCTATTCCTTCTCCCCACTCCCATGTCTCCCCCCTCCCCCATTCTCCCTCCTCCCCCTCGCTGATCGCGCGTCGTCGTCGCTGCCGTTCTCGTGGTCGTCGCCGCTGTCGTTGTGGTTGTTGTCTTGGTCGTCGTGCCTCGTCGCTGACGAGCCCTCCCAGGAGGACAGCATTCCGGTCGCGCTGGCGGGCAAGTCCGTGTTGGCCCGCGCCAAGAACGGCACGGGCAAGACGGGGGCGTTCGTGATCCCGCTCCTGGAGAAGACCTCGACCACCAAGAACGCGATCCAGGTTAGGGTTGAAAAAAAAGAGGGCCGAAGAAGTTCCTCTTCTGGTTATGGTTTTGGTTTTGGAGGTGGGGACCTTTTTGGCCTCTTTGGCTCCTCTTCCTGAAATAGTTTGGCCTTCTCTGGTGGCCACGGCCCGGCGCAGCTCGAAGAGTTGGTCGGGGCGGCGTGTTCGGAAGGAGGCCCGTAGCCGCTCACAGTTCCGTCCAGGAGGAGGAGGGGGAGGAGGAGGGGGAGGGGGGGGAGGAGGGGGAGGAGGGGGAGGAGGAGGAGAGGAGGAGGAAGAGGAGGAGGAGAGGAGGAGGAGGAGGAGGAGGAGGAGGGGAGGAGGAAGGAGGAGGGGAGGAGGAGGAGAGGAGGAGCAGCAGGAAGAAGAGGAGGAGGAGAGGGATGATGAGGAGGAAGACGAGCAGGAGGAGGAGGAGGCGGAGGAGGAGGAGGAGGGGGCTTGCCTGTGATCTTGCTGAAAGACTTCGGGGCCGCCACCCGGTGCTCTTTGGTGTGGTAGCTGCGCTCGGGGAGCGCGGCTTGCCCTATGTTCTTCAGACCTTGCAGCGGGAGGAGGAAGGGGAGGAGGAGGAGGAGGAGGGGGAGGAGGAGGAGGAGGAGGAGGGGGAGGGGGAGGGGGAGGGTAGGGGGAAGGAGAGAGCGAGAGGAAGCCATGTGGGACGAGTGCGAGGAGCGACCGACCCCTCGGCCCAGGGGCTCATCCTCGTGCCGACGCGCGAGCTGGCCCTCCAGACCTCCTCGGTGGGGGGGGTGCGGGCCCGTCCCGCGCGCAGCACCGACCGCTCCCCGAGCCCCGCAAGTCGGGGGCGGCCAAGAGGGGTGATGACTATGGGGGGGATATCATGGCGGGGGCCATGATATCTACGCAGATTTCGTGGCGCCTCTTGTCTCATTACGTCCCCGCCCCCCCTTCTCGGGCCGCGCGCGTGCCGCCGGCCATGATCTGCGCCCCCCCCCCTCTTGGACGCCGTGAAGCGGACGGGTCCTGAGGAACCTTTGGATCCTCGCGTGCGGTAGGTCTGCGCCGCGTTGACGCGGCGGCGATCCCAGCGCGGGCGCTCAAGGTTAAACGCCGCCAGAGGCCTGGAATCGGCTTATGTCGAGCGATCTGCGCTATCGGAGAGAGCCGTGATCGTTCAAGGTTGAACGATCCACGCGGCAGAAATCAACGCCCGAGTCATCGCGACGCGAACCAGCCTTAGCGAACAACAAAAAAGACAAGGGGGTTTTGTCCGTGTTCGGCCTCCAGGTGCCTTCAACGGGCCCCAGGACTTGTATCAAAAGCTGCTCGGGGCGAGCAACCGTTCCTAGGCAAGGGCCCCGGGCCCCTTGGGCTTCACGTTGTTCGAGGCCTTCAGTGCCTTCGGTGCCCTGTACGGGCCTCGGAGACGCCAGCAGAACGACAGTGGGTGCCCAGGCCCCGTTTGTTGACGAACAGGCGACACGCCTTCATGCAGATAGGTCGAGCAGTGCTGAAGCGTCCTGGCTTGCTCATGGGCCCACCGAAGAATGTTCTAAAGACCTTCTTTGGTCTGCACGAACTGTTTTCAGAACATTTCTGGCTGAGACTGTCTTGTTTTAACACATTGGGCTCATGCTCTAAGAAAACGTTTTGTTTTCAGACAATTTTGGGGTTCTGAGAACGTCTCGTGGTATGCTTACAGGACTGCCGGGACGGTCGGCCCCTGCTCGAATAGGGGGGTTGGCCCGCGCCTCGCGATTTGAGGATGCGCTATAGGCAAGGGCGCGGGCTGTCGGACCCCGAGGCCGTCCCCCGTTCGAGCGGGGACCCCCGGCTGACAACCTGCATCCGTAGCCCCTTCCCAGACGTCCACCCCGACGGATTTGGGGTCGTATGGGTATGGGTGCTATGGTCAGCCCATTTGTCGTCTCATGCCCAGAGCGGCTGGAGGAGGAGGAGCAGCAGCAGCAGCAGCATCAGCAGGAGGAGCAGGAGCAGACCCCCGATCAGTCAGCGCGAGACGGCATACCCAGGTTGCCGGTTTGGGCACTGGCAGAGTGCCGTCTGGTTGGCGCCGTCTGGTTGGCGCGAGGAGGTTCGCGTCGTGTCGACCAGCGGCGGCCCCGCCGCCAGCGTTCCACGTTGAACGCCGCCAGCGCCCAGAATCGGTCGATGTTGAACGATCTGACATTCGGAAGGGGCCGTTCGTCCAAGGTGGGGCGACCCCCGCGGTGTCGGGAACCATCGCCTTGGTCGGCACGTCAAGAGCTTGCCGTAGCGGCGCACGCCGTGGCGTATGTCTTTCGCAGGGAAGGGGGGGAGGGGTATCGGAGCAGCGCATGCCGAAGGAATGTCAGAACAAAGATTTGATTGGCCGATTGATGCCTTGGGTCGCATTCTTGCGAGACTTGTTGAGGCACCCCTGGCACTGCCAGGTGACCTGCGGAGGGATCGCACGCAGCAGCCAGGGAACGAATCTGCTGAGAACCATGGCCCTCACAACGGATACCACCCACTCACCTCCAGTGATGGGATTCTGAACCCCCGAGGTGGTCTAACATTCCCGGCCCCCCCCACGCCGCCTTCAGAGCACAGCACGGCGTGGCGAGCCTCTCCGCTCGGGCAGCCGCGGAGCTGGACGGTCTGCACACCCGACGGCGCTGGCCCAAGCACTGCCACCACCGACGGAGCAGGCGCTCGGGCACGGGCGGGGCGTGGAGCGGAGGAGGGAGGCACGGGCTCGGCAGGCGCAGGCGCAGCGCTAGGCTCAGGACTTGCCCTCTCCTCGCTGCAGCGGGGGCCCGACCTTCGAGAAACCTTCCACAGGAAACCCAACCCTGAGACCCCAGGATGTCCATGGATTTTCAGTGTGGGAACGTCACGCTTTCCATCGCAAAGCCGTCGAAGTCCAAGACTCCCAGGGCACCCTGGAGGCAAGCAGGGTATTCCTTGTCATGGGTCTCAAGGCTGAGCTGGCCGCCACAGCCTCAACTGACGATCTCGTGAATCGTTTCCGAACCGACTCCGCTCTCTGCTCAGCGTCCAAAACTCTAAACCTTTGATCCGCTGGTAACCTCGCTTCCTCGGCGGCCAACTCAGCCATTTTATCCACAGCATGATTCTCGGCAGTCCACCACCCTGGCAACCCCCGTTTCATTGTGTTGGTCGGCTCGACGCGAGACGGCGGAATGTTCGGTACATTGATCTGAAAATGCGGACGTTCGTTTGCCTTAACACTTTACCGATGGCTCTCCACACATGCTCCATACGGTCTGCGAAACATCTCATCGTGCCGTCCCCTGACAAATTCAGCACTGTCAGCAATGTGATGCACCAGCCCCCGGCACAAGTTTGTGTCTTGCCTACAAGAAGACCCGTGACCACGGGTCCCAGGACGAAAGGACCACGATTGACGGCGACTCCCATGGCAATTTCGATGCGCCTCAAACTTGGATCTTGGCCATCATTCCTGCCCGAAGCGCCATCACTCAGAAAGGGGATTATGGTCCGTCCCCTCGCCTAGCCCACCAGGTTCTAGACTGTTGCGAACGAGCCTGGAGTGAGACCATGTCTCTTCCATTGGGGATAGCTGCCCTGGGTCCGCCCTGCTGGCATCAAACCCTGAAACCAGAAGCACGAATCAGCCTCCCCCTGAGGAATGGCGGCTGGAACCATCTCAGCGGTCTGCTCGTATATAGGGTGTCCCTGGTTGCAGTCATATGGCTGATACGGATGGAGAGGTGTCGTGGCCTTCTTCAATCACTTTGGACACATATCCGAAGTAGAGAGACCCATCGCGTGCGTCCTGCCCTGGAGCCACTCACTCCGACCGATGCTAACTGTCGGCCTCTGCGAACGCGTTCGAGCTTTTCGAGAAGACGACGAAGGGACGCATTGTCGACCGCATTCTCCAATCCCCACCCGCAAAAGTGCTTGAATGCTTCCTGCCATTGACCTCTGTTGATATCCCGAGCAACATATTGTAGGCGATCTTGTGCTTTCGATTCATCTGCGAGCCCGCATGCGTCGAACTTCCAGTCAAGTGGATTGCGATCCCGAGGATGACATTGGACCGTGCTGCTTTGGAGGAGAGAGGGTTCCACCTTGCTCGTATCAGTTATAGAATGCGAGATTGTGACTGTCATCGGTTCCTTGATGTGTCTCGAATGTTTGATCAATTCGAGTGCTCGAAACGGTTGAGCAGCCTTTTCCTAAGCAATTCAATATTTGGATTGGCCCAAGGTTAAAACAATATCCAGCGTCGTCGTGAGCCATTGGGCCCGCTTGTTGGCACTTGAGAGTGCTGCCAGCCTTCTTCGCAGAGTAGGTAAGTATGTACCGATCGCCCCATGCATGACCATCCCATACTTCGAAACAGCTTGAGGGCCTGCTCGCTCGATTCGCCCAGTGATGCGGTACTGATGGCCTGCTCTTGTGACGCCGTTGAGCTTGATGTGCTGCGTCCCCCTTCGGCTGCTCTGGCCCGTCGAATCGTCCCGGCTAGCCTCCTCCCCGGCCCCAAGGCGATTCCCAAATAAGAAGCTTGCAATGTTGGAGCAAGATGAATGGCGTGACGTTGCATCCATTTCACGAGCCATTGGGTGAGAGGAACTTAACACCACGCTTGTGCTTGCCACTTCGGGCTGTTACCAAAACACGAAGCGTAATTATGGATCCAAATCCGTTCCCCAGCCTATACCGCTAGGTGTTGAACCGTCATCTTGCTGAGGATGAGCCATACATGAACATCTGGCATTTTTTGTATCATTCCTGAGTCCCTGCGCAATGCTGTTGGTTGGCTGACAGGCTCGAGAATGTGATCCTAATTGGCTCGAACAAATACGCGGTGCTATGCACAACTGCAGCTCCAGCGCCAACACCATATTGACGGGAAACCTAAACGTAAGGCTGCTAATGCTAGTCGGTCCCAGCGAATGGAATCGTCGGAGGTTGGGGTGTGTGATCGCAGTAGATCGGAGAGCCCCCCACCAGGAAATAGATCGCAGTAGATCGGAGAGCCCCCCACCAGGAAATCGGTTTCGGTTTCGTGCTCGTGTCGTGCGTGCGGGCAAGGCGAAGCTGCGTGGGCGCGTGAGAGGAATGACCCTGCCGTCGCTAGGGCGATTCGGATGCAGTGGACCGCTCCTCCGCCCCCGGTGGGCGCGCGGAGGCCTGGAGGAGGAGGAGGAGGAGGAGGAGGAGGAGGAGGAGGAGGAGGAGGAGGAGGAGGAGGAGGAGGAGGAGGAGGAGGAGGAGGGTGTCTTGCTTTGGTGTCCCGTGGTGTCCCGGTGGTGTCCCGTCGGTGTCCTGTCGGTGCTGCGTCGGCAGTGGGCGGGGCGGTGGCCGGGGGTGTCCCGCCTTGCTATCGATGGTGATTTCGATAGTGAGATCGATAATGATCACCACCCACCAAACCACCCCAACCCAACCCGAAGGCCTCAATTTATCCTCGATTTCCAGTGGGGGGGGGGGGTCGGGGAACGTTGAGAAAACACATGGAATCCGTACCCCCCCCAACCCGAAATTCGGGTCAGATTCGGGTCTTCGGGTTGGGTTGGGGTGGTCTGGTAGGTAGTCAAATGAGATCGCTAAAATGGGATGGATAGTGAGTTCAAGAGTGAGATCGACGGTGCTATTGATTGTGACATTGGTTGTGAGATCGACAGTGAGATTGACAGAGGAATCGATAGTGAGATCGATCGTGGGATCGATAGTGAGATCGAAAGCTATATCTATAGTGAGTTCTATAGTGAGATCCATAGTGAGATCGGTCGAGTGT